ACTACTGACTGCTTACTATATGCTAAGCAGAAATGCACATGCTTAGAGAACCCACGTGAACACTGGGTCTGCCTTTTACTAGTTGTGTGACTTTGGGCAAGTTACTTACACACTTTGTGCCTCATATCCACATCTATATAATGGGGTGTAATAACAGTACCTACCTCACAAGGTACTGGAATTAAATATAAAGCACTTGAAATAGAGCCTGTCACACGGGAAATAATGTTAGCTGCTATCATTTTCATAACGGCCAGCTCCAGCTCATACAGTATCTAACCTTAGAAATATCAAAAGAATAGTTACAGACTTAACGACTGGTGAATGCTGAAAGGTCCCCCTTCACTAGGAATAACTCTCATACTCTTTTCTCCTACTTGTGGATCATTTTGTACACCAGGAAATTCAACTGTTTCAGAAATAACTGAACACTAGTTCATTTACAAGCAATATTGTTTTACTCTGAATGAGAAGCAAAGTCCAAAAGCTTAAGTTTTGTTCTCCAATTATAAAAATTGACCAATAGTCCAATTAGAAAAAAAAGTATCACTGTGAACCATATATGCAAATTTGACTTAAAGTAGCCTGCATTTTATAGCAATGACTTTGATTTACAGAGGCAATTCTACTTAAAAGCAGATTAGATTAGTCTTATTGTTTCATTTCCAAATACATCACTTATTCACAAATTCTCTGATATTCTTTCCATCAAGAAGTGGTACTTAATTCCTCTCTCTTTGAAAGAGGGCTGGGCATCCTAACTCGCTTCTAGCCAACAAAATAGGGCAGAAGTAACAATGTGTGACTTCCAAGACTGGGTCATAAAGAGCACTGTGGCTTCCTTTTTTACCTCTTTCTTGGATCACTTGCACTGGGGGAAGCCACCTGCCATACCATTAAGACACTCAGGCAGCCCCATGGAGATGTGCACACAGCAAGGAACTATGGCTTCCTACCAACAACCAGCAAAGGACTTAGGCCTTCTGCCAACAGCCATGTGAATCAAATCCTACAGCTACAGTCAAGCCATTAGATGACTGCAGCCCTAGGGAGAGACGCTGAGCCAGAACCACCCAGCTAAGCTGCTCCCAAATTCCTGACCCTCAGAAATTATGAGATAATAAATGTGTGTTGTTTTAAGCTGGTAAATTTTAAAGTAATTTGTTATTCAGCAATAGATAACTAATAGTTTATTCTATGGCATTTGTTTTTAAAATTAAATTGATGTTATTGTTTTTGAGAATTTCATGAAACTCATTACCTGAAGTAACTGGTAATATATTGTCACAGTGCAAAATCAGGAGTAGAAGTCACTGGCTTACTGGTTTGCTGTTAGGCAATTAATGCAAAGATCTTGGACAGTAGGTATCACAAAGTAGTTTCAGCTTCATCAGTAAAGAAAATAGATAGATAAATCAAAGGCGTGGCTTTTACTTATGAAACTATCATTTACTTTAAAGAAAATAAACATATAAGTTATATTACATTAAAATGTATGAATAATAATGTAATTCAAATTTCCCAAAGACATGTCAGGTTCCTTAGAAGATTTCTCAAAAAGAAAAGCATTAAAATTATATACTCTGAGATAAAGATCTAAGAACTCATTGTCGGGCCGGCCCAGTGGCGCACTCGGTAGAGTGCGGCACTTGGGAGCGCGTTGGCGCTCCCACCGAGGGTTCGGATCCCATATAGAGACCGGTCCGCTCACTGGTTGAGCGCGGTGCAGATGCAACACCAAGGGTTGCGATCCCGTTGCCGGTCCCGGTACGGGCGCAACACCGAGGGTTGCGATCCCATTACCGGTCATGAAAAAAGACAAAAAAAGGGAAAAAAAAAAAAAAAAAGAACTCATTGTCTTTTACAACCTACTCAGTTTTTCAGATTTCTTAACATTAAAAACAACCAAAAATAATCTCTGTGAGGATTTTACTATTTTATTTTAATACTAAATGTCACAACTAATGTTTAATCAGCACAATGCTCTCGGTCACCTACCAACAGAAGAAAACAGGTAACTCAAATAAGTTAAGTTTTATCTCCTGTTGCAGCTATTGGGGGTGTGGGATTTAGAAGCAGATTATTTATAAAGTAATACATAATTATTTGGAGCTTTTCCTGTTCTGTATTACTATACATCAAAGTTGACTATCTATTTTACATATAGAATTAAAAGATATGTGTGTATACTAGAAAAAACTATTTTTTATATATATGCTAATGTAATTATAATATCCACTCTTCTCTATTGACCTTTGCCCCCTGAAATAAACATGGTATCCCCCCCCATTTTTTTGATACTCTCTTTAAATGTTAATAAATTCATTTTAGCACTATACATTTCAGAATTCTATAAATAAACTATCCGTGTAGTTCAGGAAGGTCCTAGAAGAACACTATAATATCTGCACATGAAATCCAAAAAAGTCTGTTAAGAAACCCTATCAATTGCGACTAAGAGAAAATATCTTTGGAAAAATGGTAGAATTAAGATGCCCAAATAAAAAATTGCACTTAATAATACTGATCATAATCCTATAAACATAATACTAATAGATGTCCTTTTTCCAACATATATGACATTGTTAACCTAAGTAAATTAACTCGGCTACAAAATAGGTCTACTGTTAAAACGTTTTTCTCCCTACATAAGTAGAAGTTATTTGTTGGGGCCTACCAAGAATTGATATTCTCTTTCCCAGCATATTTAATATACTGGAAATATCAGTGAATGTGGGGGAATGGTGATTCACTAAGTTAGAGCATCAGGGAAGATTAAATTAAAGGTTTTCTAAGTCATAGTAAGGACTGCTAACTTACTCCTATAAGCAATGATAAATCACTGAAAGATTTCAAAATCAGAAACCACAGGATTGTACTTCTTAATTGTAAAGATCCTTGGAACCATGTTGAAGATGAGTGAGGTGCGATTGAAAACTGAGCTAATAATTAGGAGATAATTATGAGTACTATTAATAAAAGGGAGAGATGACTTTGGAAGGTAATTTGGCAGTAAAGTGAAATGCATTTATCCAGCAATTTCATTTCTAGATATGAACCCAGAGAAATAAATATAAGCCCAGAGAAATAAGCACAAGGACACTGCTCTAGAATGTTCACTGTGCTGTTATCTGCAATTTTTTAAAAAAGTAAAAATTTCAATGGCCTCAAATAGGGTAATGAATAAATGTAGATGGAATGTCATACAATAGTTAAAAGGAATGAATTAGATCTATGTACGAGTATATCATGGCTAGACTTCAAAAATAAAATGAATGAGAAAATTAAGTTGCAAACAAATGTATACTGCAGTATATTATTTATATAAATTAAAACACATAAAAACAGCATTACCTATTTTCTATTTACCTACAATGACTACATCCCTGAGTGTTGTCTCAGGGGATAGTGCCAAGTACTGTTCTAAAAACTTCGGATTTACTCATTTATTCTTCACAACATTTTTATGCCACAGGCACTATTTCTATCCCATTTTACAGATGGAGAAACTGAGTCGCCAAGTTTCAGGATCTCAAAAGCCTAAAGATGAAAAATGACAGAGCCATGATTCCAACCCAGGCAGTCTGGTCAAAACAAAAACAAAACAAAAACAAAAACTGGAACAATTTCATGCCAAGTTCTGAATGACCGTTGATTCTGCACAAAGGGGTGGATATCAGGGTACGGGAATGCAGCCAGAGGGAGACTTTAATTATATCTGAAATATTTCTTAAGGATGTATGCAAAAAGTTTTTAAACCGTGCGGTTTTGGGTTTTTTAGGTTTTTTTTGGGGGGGTTGCCCAAAAATGTAAACATACAAAAGTCTGGGGCGAAAGATGCTAAAGTGCCATGTTATTACGGCTGACTACGGATGATGGAAATATGGAGGGCTTTCTTACAACTTCTTTGTAGTTCTCAGTAACTTTCAACTTTTAAAAAAGGCACTATTGTATGCGCAATGATTTCCTCTCAATTATTATTTTTTAACCGACAAACATAAAATTTGTTTTAGTGCCTTATAAATGTAAATCTTTCTCAACCTCGGCATTACTGACATTTTGCGCTGGATAACCTCGGGGTGTCCTGCGCACTGAAGGATGTTTGGCAACGTTCCTGGGCTCTACCCACTAGAAGCCTTTGCACCCCCCCATCCCGAGCTATGACAACCAAAAATGTCTCCAGACAATGCCAAAGGTTACCTGGGTGGCAGAACCACCCCTCCGTTGATCACTAAATCAATAAACTGAAAGACGCTTTTCATCTTTACCTTTATACAGCTGTTTCAGCTTAAAGATTTCAAAGGTATTTTCCATGTTAATCTCACACTCCAAGTGGGAAGGATGTCAAAGGAATGAAGGAAGTTTTAAGCGAAAAAATCTCCGAATATAGCAAGAACTAAAAATCCGGTTATCATTCCACAGAACGACAGAGCCAGCCCGGGACGCCCAATTCCTTCCCCCGCTCCTGCACTGCGGGAACAAGGGGAGCAAATCCAACCCCGCCGCCCCCTCCGCGAAGGCCCAGGATGGGAAGACGCGCCGGCCCTACCCTACCTCAGCGCAGCGGCCGCGTTCCCGACGCCCCACGCGGCCGCACCGCCCACGGCTCGAAACCTCCCGCCAGCGCGCTGCACCCTGGGAGGCGCAGGCGGGAGACTGCGTCGAACGCAGAGGAGGCAGAGCCTAGCGAGCTGCCGGGAGACGGTTGCCAAGGGAGGCTGAGGAGGCGGGGCCCCCGGGGAGTGTTGCAAAAGCGAACCGCCTACCCAGCTCTCTAAGGCGGAGATCAGCGTGGGAAGGGCCCGCGAACTCGCTGCTGGCGGAGGCGGGACCGCAGTGCTGGAGACCACGGAAGGCGGAGCCCGAACGGGAAGCGAATGGGACGCTGGCTGAGGGCCTGGTCCCGCCTTCAGACCCAGGAGGCCCCGCCTTCAGACCCAGGAGGCCGCATCGGATTGGGCAGTGCGGCGGCGCTTCCGTCCGCCTTCCGGTGTCACGCGACCTCCTCCCCCTCCCGCCCTTCTCTGTCTACCTCTGGGCCGGGCTGGCGGGTGATGAGATACTCGGGCGGCGGCGGTGGAAGGGGCGACGGGGACAGCAACTGTAGTCACATCCACGACCGCGATCATGGCCGAGGTGAGAAGCCGACTGCACAGCTGCTGGCTCCCTGGACCCGGAAGCCGGCTCTGAGGCTGGGGGCCATGCGCTGGGGTGCAGGTGGGCTGGGTTGAGGGTAAGCGGGGTGGTGCGAGTAGTATCTAAGTTCCGGTCGTGTCTCCCATCCAGAATCACACCCAGAATAAAGCCAAGCTCATCTCTGAGACCCGACGGAGGTTCGAAGCTGAGTATGTGGCAGGTGGGTACTGCGTTCACGGGGTTGAGGCAGCTGTGCAGTGGAGCATCCCTAACTTTACTGGGGTGTTTGTGGGTGTTTCTGTGGGAGGCGTTAGGGACCATTTCGACCCTCACAGGAATGATACTCTGCACATTTCAAAGGCTTTTCTTTTTATAACGTTCTGTGTACTCTGCTCCAAGTTGGCGGATGGTATGTCTGATGCTTCCTTTAAAGGGTTAATGTAAGTTGGAAATTGGTGAGTTCCTATTATCTCGAATTTATGGAACTTGCAGGACACTTGTTAGGCCTACGACACATATGACGCTGCCCAGTCCACGGTTTCTCTGCTGGCCTTTCACTAGCAACACTCGAGAACCTGGAAACTGCAGTAATACTACTGATGTGTACTTAATTTAGTATGCAAATTCCTTGGATAGTTTTGCCTGATTCCACTTCATACAACCCAGCATGCTACCCACAGAGTAGGACCCTCCAGTGCTGTAACAAGTTTTTTTCATCTCACACTGTATCTAGCAAAGTTCTTTTGAGTCCAGAATGGACTTATTGATTGAACATTCTGTGTCCAAATGTTACAGATACTTAAGTTGTCAGGTACTTAGCTGATGATTTAACACTTGTACAGTAATTTTTATAAAACATGCAGGATAATTCATTATAAATACGGAATTAAAAAAGGGTCTATATGTTACCTACTTTAAGATTGTAATCCTGACGCTGCCACTAAATAGCTTACTTGTATATACTGAGTCTTTGTTTCCATATTTGTGAAATGCAGATAATAAGGTTAGGAGGATTAAGTGAAAAAGTATATATCAAACCGTCTAATATGGGCCTAACATACGGTAGGCTGTCAATGAATATTTTGCCTCAGTAGTCATTTTGGTTACTCTGAAAGGAGTTAAGCTTCCACATCTTGACATTAGTGCTCAGTACAGGTTCCCTGGAAATTTAAACTGTCCTAGATTATACATCAGTTGATGACCTAGAACAAATACAGAAATCTGTTCCAAATAATTTGGTCATTGAATCTTTTCATCTCTCCTTGCCAATTTTCTTCACACCCCAAAGTTTGCACCAGAGAGTTGCAAAAGCACTTAGTTCACTTTTAGCCCAGAGATCTCATTTCTAATAACATAGCTGGTTTCAGTAAGGAGATAATTCTAAAATTGCTTTCTATAGAAATGTAATTCTTATAGCTACATGGTTGATAATATTTTAAGAAGTAATTCAGAACTAGACCATATAATGAGCTAGTGACTATCCAGTAGTCATTTAAGTAGCCTAAGGGAGGAAGCAGAATATAGGCAGAAATTTAGCAGTAGACAAGATCTTAAAGGTCATCTTGATTCAACTTTCTCATTTTAAAATGAAGAAAGTGAGGTTTAGAGAGATTAAGTGATTTTGTCAATGTCCCTGGTGTTAGTCGTTAGGCTGGGGCTAATGCTCAGGTCTTCTGAATTTCATTATAGTAATCTTTCAGCAACACCATGATATCAAATTAGATCACATCACTCCTCAGCTTGAAACCCTTCAGTGCCAACCCACTGCATTTAGAATAAAATCCCAATTCTCTGTTTCTACTCTCCTTGCTTAATACAGATTCGACTGCTGCCCACATTAAGAAAAGTATTATACATTGCAACCCGGTACACACATGTGTACACTCTCATAACTGAAGCAAAAGTTCCTTAAAGAATACCAGAGTACTTCAAAAAGTTCGTGGAAAGATTCCTATTATCTTTTGATTCTATTTTTCCGTGAACTTTTTGAAGTGCCCTCCTACTTATTCTGAAAACATGTGACTGATGTTTTTTCTATTTGACTTCCTTTTAGAAAATGCAATGACCCACAAAATTGACATCACAATCTAAAATGTGACCCACTGTTTGAAAAACATGACTAGCTACACTGCCTAGTTTGTGTTCTTCAAACAGAATGAGTCTGTTTCCATCTTGGGACCTCTCCACTTCTCTGCCTTTGTGCATGGCTAGGTCCTTTTTTTTCTTTTCAAGGTTTAAATGTATTTGAGAGGCCTTCACTAATTATTAAATAGCCTCCTTGTCTTGTTTGTTTTGTCTCCTTTACAGCTCTTACCATAATCTGTAATGACCTTGTTCATTTGTTTATTTGATTATTATTCATTTCCTCGAGTAGAATGTATGTGGCTTCTGTAGCAACCTGTAGATATTGAGGTCAGGGGCCTGGATGTCACACTGACCTCTGTATACCTAGCACAGTTCTCATTACATACTCATTGAATGAATATAGCGATACTTAAATATATACATAGGAAGATTAGTCCAATTCTGTAGTATTAAAATCTGCGTTAACCAGCTCCCCTCCTCCACCAAAACTTAGCAAAGAGCAGTCTCACAAGACAAGCCTTCTTTCTAAGTAAAGCACTGTATGGCATTAAGTATAGGAAGGGTTTTTGTCTTTAAATACATGCATTTGGGTATGTGCAAACGCACTTGTATGGGTTATCTGAACAGCAATTGTAAATGTTAATTTAAGGACTTGCATGGGAAAGGAAAATAGAAACCTTTAAAGACTTTCTCGCCTTAAAGTTTCAGTTGTTTCCTGAAATATAGCATCGGGTAAAGGTAGAATGGGAGAGTGGTAAGAAGTTTCTTTTTAATTTGCCTGAGTTTTCTCCTTTAAGTTTGCTTTTTAGAAATTAAGTGTTTAGAACATCCACTTTCCTTCTTCCTCTTTCAGTCTTTCTATTGTCATTAATAATATTTTGTTTCAGAAGAGGCTTAAGGTAGACTTAAGCAAACATGATGTTTTTCCTAAAGGAAAATAATTCATTATCTACAAGTATATCACATCAAGCACTAACTGTATTCCAAAAACTCTTTTGGAAGTAAGTTCTTGGGAATTTCAAGCACATTTTTGTGTCCATAGAAATTAAGTTACCAATTATGGATAGATTTTTAGCTGGCAAAAAGGATGAAATATAAGTCCATATTATGGTACTTTTTTTCCTCATTGTTCTGTGAGAAATTCCATGCTGAGTCTCAAATGAGAAACATTTCCTGTTCTTTCTTCCTTCTTCCTCCTTGTACCTTAGACAAGAGACTAATCTCTTGTGACAATAATTTATTCAGTTCCTCAAGTACTCATTATGTGCTTAATTCTGGGAAGCAGCATATCACTATTAGAGAAAGAGCTGAAGAAGGATACGACTTCAATCTACTAGAACTACTACAATCTACTAGAGGCGTTAAAACAGAGATAACTATTAAAATTAAGGCAAATTATATTAAGAGTAACAAAAGTGCTAAAATATGTTCTGTAAGAGTCAAAGACAAGGAGAAATAACATGTTTGGGGTGACTGGTGCAGAGATAGAAAAAACTTAATAGAAAAGGGGGTGTTTCTTATGAACTTTGGAGGATGGTTGAACTCGTTCCAGATACAGAAGGTGATCCAGGCCAATGAAATAGTCTGAGCTAAGGCACTGAGGTGAGAAGGTAAGGGGCATATTCAGGAAGCAATAGGAAGTCCACTTTGATAAGCCTTAAGGAGGGTAAGTACACATAGCTAAAAACTGTGGGAATATAGTGTAGAGAGTCTTGGACACCAGAGCGATGTGTTTGTACTTTAGTGAATATGCAAAGCCATTGAGAGGTATATGGGGTTTGTTATTTTAGGTTTGTTGTCTGACTTTTCAAGTATATGAATTCACATAAATGAATTGGGTTAATACCAGAAAAGTCTGAAGAAACTCCCAGAGATAGGTCTGCTAACAGTGGATACTTTTTTTCTAGTCTTTTTTCTATACATTTAAGAAAACAGAGTTAAAAAAACCCTCTGTATATAACTTTGTGTTACATTTTTATTAATGTGATCTTATTTCTCCATATTTTTGAAGTAAGCAACATTGTATGTTACCATTTAATATTTGGTTCTGTAAATAAAAGATAGTTTTCTTATCTTTTATCTTAGTCCCTTTTTGGACATTGAGACTCTTTCCAGTTTTTTGTTAATGCAATTTTTTGTTCAGTACTTCAGATAATTTCCTTAAGATTCACATGTAGAAATCGAATTATTGGTTTCAAGAGTGTGAGTATTTTTGAGGCATTTGATAATATGTGCTAAATTTCCTCCATGGTAGTTGCACTAATATTCATTCTTACCAGCCTGTAGGAGAGTGTTAGTCCCACCACACCCTTACCTATGTTTAGTGTCATCATTTCTTAACTGATGGTTCTGTGTTTTAGTTTGCATTTAATTGTTAGTAAGGGTAAACGTCTTTTCATGTTTATATCCATTTGTAGATTAAACTTTTTTTTTCATTAGTATGGCTTTTAATATTGGTATGGGCTTTTCTAGTTTATGTCACTTTTACTTTTTTTCAGTTTTTTAATATATTCAAAACTACCCATTCCTTTGAGGTTTCTTCCATTGCTGTTAAGTTAGATAATTTTCTCTTACCCAGTGACCTTTCTAAGTTTTTCATTTTCATTTGGTTTATTATGTTTTAATTTTGAAAATTTTTAAGTGTACAAATTGTATAAAACATTAATAAAATAAACACCTATGTACTCACGACTCAGCCACAAACTAGAACCTCCCAGGACCTTAGAAGCTTCCTATGTACCGCCATCCCTGTCACTTTTCCTGCATTTGGTGTTACTCATTCCTTTGCTTTTCATTAGTTTTACCACCTATGATATATTCCTCACTTATACTTTGTTAGGTTTTGCCTCCTTTTGAACTTTACATAAAACCTGAATATATTTTTCCATGACTCGCTTCTATTGCTCAAGATTCATTCATATTGTGAAATATAACTGTGATTCATTCCTTTTTATGGCTGTGTAGTAGTTCATAGAATGAATATACCAAAAGATTGACTTAGGGTTATTTCTAGGTTTTTGTATCATGTACAGTACCAGTATGAACATTCTTATAGATGTCTGGTGCACACTTGTGAAAACTTTTGTAGGGCAGTGGTTCTCAAAGTTGCCTCAAGAACTGGTTCCTTGAGACCAT